CGGATGCATGGCGCGATTATGGTCCTTAAGATAGACTTCAGAAATTACCATTTTTCTACGTTTCCATTTCCAGGGTGGCGGTATCGTCGGTCTAAGCGGTGGAGTTGGTGTAAAGGCGCCCGGTGCAGGTAATGTTGGCGTCGGTTCCGGAATTGGAGTAGGAAAATAAGTAGAGAGATATTTGTGTAATGTAAGATAAATGTATAAACAAAATTTATATGTTCTATGTTGTTTATAGATCTGAATTACAAGTTTTTGTACGGATCATTCTGTTTACTTCAGGGTTTTTACTTGTACGTTTTCATACCTCTGAAACTTTTTGTAGGATGCATCTACTGTACGTATGTGAAGTTCAATTTGCGCCTCCTTTTCCATAATACTTTTCTTTTCAGCCAGGAATCGGAATAAACGTTTTGAATCTTGTTTTACATATAAATGAGGATTTATCAAAAATTCGTCAAAGAAGGACGACTGTTGTCAGACACCCAAAGACGTCAGGTAACTTTGGGGCGGGCATTCCTGTGGCCTCTCTTCCTCCTATTCAGGGTTTATAACCCGTTAATTTCATTTCTCTTGGCACCTGAGCCCTTTTTCTAAAGTGCCAAGAAGAACCAAGTCCCATTGCATCAAGTGCAGTGGGAAAGGCTTCTAACTTCTATGGAAACAAAAACAATAGACCTGCTTCTGCTATCCGGCTTTCACTAACTAGTAAGTTCCCCAATGGTTAGATGGAAGGCTTCGCCAACCTGGACGGGTATCAACCAGGTGTTCGATACAGGACTGTGCCTTCGGGTTTGACACTGCACGTACACCACCTCAGCCCTTATATTCATTATGTACAGCAAAGCTGCTAACATTGGACCATCGAAAGGAGCTGCGCAAGGCCTTCTTTTCGAGAGCAAGAGACAACGTCTTGCAGAGAATTGCTTCCGGGTGAGGAGGATATGAAGGTAGCAAAAAGAGAGGCAGGAAAGAAAGTAAAGAGGTAGAGCAGAAGAAATTAGGTTCTCACCTCTGCTCGAACGGTTGTTAATAACATCTTTTGTCTCGGTGATGGACTAGAATAGCTCAGTAGATTCGCGGGAGCATCTTACACTGTCAGCACTAGACAATCATACGGTACATCATACCCATGTCTTGCCACTGTGTTCACCTTCACTTGGATATCTTGAGAGTTCAGCACGAAGCCTCTTTAGTTCAGCAGCCATGACCAAAATCGCATTATCCGCCCAGTCACTTCCCTTGCGCTTTGCAACGGAATTCCTACGCAGAAGCTACACCCGCTAACAACCTCGAAATTGTCCCCTACGAATTTTGGGGGAGCAGGGTTACGGTAGAATTGTCGCTACGAAAAGTATCATCAGTCAGAGCAACACCAGGCTTAGTCTCTGCAGTCCACTGTGTGGATGCCATAGATGTTATTCAAACACCTCAACATTTCTTATAGAGATTTTGGCTGNCATGGCTTATTCCAAGTCTCTAAGAATGCGTCATTTCTCAAAATTCCTCGGAACAATAATGTTAATACAGGGTACTGAAATAGATAGACGGGTTGCTGTGAATGAAAAAGGGCTGAGTGCTGGCCGGTGGGCCGAAGGCAGGCAAGCTAGCTTGCAGGCGAACGTGTCGGGCGGCCAGCCGCCGCTGTGGACGAGTTGTCAAGCGGCCGCGCCCAACGTGGAGCTTTTGTTGGTATTATTGTTGTTGTTGTGAGCAATTCTGGAGCCACTCGTTGAACACTGATGAATGGCGACAGATTCACGATACGCACGACATTTTTCCTCACAATCTGGTTCACTATATCCAAGGTTTGTACCTTTATATGCTGTAACTCGTTAGCTGATTAGCTTAAAATTCGATGGTTTTGTTATTTTTAAGGTTCTTTCTTAAATTCTATCTTTTCAGAGAGTGCGAATTATGTCTGCCTCGTTTGAAATTTCATGATCAAGCTCAATTTGCTCGTCATTTACGTGTAGTTCATGCCACAAAAGAAGGAGGGTCTTATATTTGTCAGTAAGTCCATTTAGTCTAGTACATTTTAGTCTTTTTTTTCAAATAGAGTTGCTATTTTAGTTCTTCAATTCAAAAGTTATCATTTTTATTCATTAAAATATGTTGTAAACCTGTTTTAAAAAAGTCTTGAAAGCCTTTTGAGTCTCTTATTCTGTCCGGTTCAGTTAACCGAGAGGCTGTTATAAATTGAAGAATGGAACTATGCTCCTTTTTTTGTACAGACACCATTTATAATTCCTTCTTCCTTGAAATTTCATACGTTCATTGATTATTGTATGTATGCCCGGAAAAACACTCCCTGAAAGGTGGGTTACGTGGCTTGTACGTAATTAAGTTTTAGGATATCTTGGTTTTGGCTCTTTTCACACCTGACAGTTCTACTTCTTAGAGGGCTTGCTAAGCTAATTCGAGCTCATTCATAAACTCTGAATTTGGGAATGAATTTCTGTCATCTGCTAATGTTCAACTTCTTCAAGGATATAGTCTAAGCTACTGAATTTAGCTTCACTTATAAATCGTGAAGGAGCTACGTTCTCATGAGGCTGCTGGGGAAAATTCCTTAATTTGGAAACCTTTTCATCCTTTCTCAAAACTGTGCTCATCCCCACTATACTCACAAATATCTCAAATTCGGGTGCTTCATAAGCTATGCAGAGGCTCAGTGTTAACCTTTCAATAAAGATCCTGGTCGTCCTTCTATTGATATGTTATAATTTATAGTTTCACTTATAGTTTGTTCAATAGTTTTCATATAGAGCTACTANGAAATGCACGGCTTTCTGTTCAAGAGGACTACACTCAGTTCAGAAGTTCTTATCAACACTTCGAACAGCTTTTTTCACTCATAATAACACATAATAGTAGGTAATAACAGTAGAGACCGCAGCGTTTTTGGCAGCTCCCTTGTAGAATACTTGGGGGAAATATTCTTGACTATATGTAGCACTTTGGCATCTATGAAGTGTACTCTAGTGAACTACATTATTCTAAAAAAACCTTTGCGGACTTTGCTTTCATTCTATTTCGTCCCGTCATGTGTTGCTGGATGAATCAGGTTGGATATGTGCATATCATCACACATTCCGACCTGTCATCATTCATCTTTTGTTTCGTTGTGCCAATCAAAGAAAAGGCTCTATTGATGACAAAAAGGAGAACCGGTTCCAGCCTTTGAAAGTCTGCATTGGCACTATTGTCTGTACTTGAATACTCTTTTTATCGAATGAGGTTATTCTCTCATCTTCGAAGAAGACTTCTTTGAAATAGACGAAATGAAGGGGAATGATTGCATGCCAAGATTTTCCGGAGCACTTTCCCCAGGCGGCAGCTGTCCTAACATTGGAAAACGATCGATTTTACATAATAATTAAGCATCTATATGGAGTATTTGATAGAAGTTGACCCCCTTATCTTCATTACAGCTATGGCGAGAATAATGTTTGTCAAAAGTTACCATTGGAAGGCGTATCTGATGATGACTACGAAACGCATATTCGTCGTGTGCATTGCGGTTAGTTAGCAGCTTTTTTGCATTATTTGTTACTGATTACTACACTCGTTTGAAAAAAAAAACTTGCTTTTGTTAACTATCTGCGTTTTAGTTTGCTTGTAACTATTTCTTTTTTCCAAATATAGCTAGTTTCCAATGTTAGACCACTCTATTTTTGAATTTTTCTCTCTACTACCTGAATGGTGACTAGAGTTCATGCATATGGGCTGATCGTGACCGTTTTTGAAGAGTCCGACGCTATTCTCTCAGCGGAATTTGCATATATATTTGCTTTCGTTTTGGTCACATACCTATGATGGCCTCTTTATAGCTGAACGAAGCGATAAATGTTCTCCTAATGTGACTAGTCACAAATGCGATGTTTTCAATTTCACAGCAAAGCAAAACAACTTTCTATGCCACTAGTTTTGTTGATCACCTGTATTAGAGGGGCCGGAATAACCTCAGCTCAAGGAATGGGCGTTATTTTGTAGTTTACGTATTTCGCTTTGAAACTTTGAAATCTTTTTCATTTTTCCTATCTGAATTCTCAGAAAAAGCCGCTGCTTTATAACTTTTGTTTCTTTTTTATAACTTTTCTTGCGTTCATTTGAGCTCTGTCTATCACTCTCTTGACGACCGGCTCTGCATAGAACATGTGTTCAATGGTGAACCTTCAGTGATTTTTGAACTCGCGAGACCACAACATCTTGCAAGGTTTTCATAAGCATTCACATGATAGCAGCAGCATAATCATTATGATTCCTTTCCAGTTGTTTCTTGATTTATTGAGCTGCTTTTGGTGATTTTGCTGTAGTAAGGCTCATGTATTTGACCCCGGTACTCATATTTACTAAGTAGAGGTCCCTTTTTGCCCTGCTTTTTGTTTAACAGATGCATATCGATTTCTTCAACAAATTCGAGCTTCACTGGGATAGGGCTAGCTACACATTGATGATGTCATTTTAGGAAAAAGCTGTTTTCATCTCCATTTTCCTGCGATGAGCCCTATTTTCAAGAGAGCTGGCATATTATGTTTTTCTTCTATTCCGATTCGATAGTTTTGAGCAGGGCTAAAGGTTGTTCAGCCACTCTGTATGCAAGTTGAGTCCCAGGGATATACAAGAACACGTTGAACGCCGGTAGTCAAAATACTCAGCCACTCTATATGCAAGTTGAGTCCCAGGGATATACAAGAACACGTTGAACGCCGGTAGTCAAAATACTTTTTGGAGTGACTCGGTTCTTCTAGTCTTTTTTTCTCGGCTAAACCCAACCGTCTGTGAAGTTTATATCTCGAGAAAGATCTCTATCGCTGCCTATCGCTTGTAATTTTCATTCACATGCCTAGTCTTCGGAATTTTCATAACCTATCGGTTTGTTTCAGTGCCCTTACAACAGTCCAAACTTGCAGTGCACGATCCACGTGAAAAAGAATTCACTCTGACGAGGTGAGTTTTATAACAAGACTAGTCTTTAGCTGTTTGTTGTTTACTAACACATTCAAAAGTTTATGCGGTAATTATTATACATTCACAACATCGTATAAGTGCAATATCTGATATTTTGATACCCTCAAATGCTTGGCACCGGTACCTTTTTTCAATGGAATCGAATAACTAATTGGTCGTAAGTGATATCAACATTTCAAGATCATAACAACGCTTGATATGGTGGAAAAAACTTCAATCCACTTGTATTTTCGTTGGATTAGGGCTGCGGCTGTAGCCTGGAGGAGATATCTCCTAAAAAAAAAGATTTTTTTATCGGGTATCAGATATTTTGTAAGACGGAAGTATTAACTTTTGTTAAAAAGTATTGGGATATTTGTCTTTCCGTTACTAGTTGATACCTGGTAATGAGTAGATTACACTTAATTATGTCGCATCCACACAGCCCGTTTTTTTAGAAAAATACCCGTCTTTTTAGAAAAATAAGCAAAAGGACACATTAAGGAAGCAGTGCTTACGTTAAGTTCGTGGTTTGGTGTAGTGTGTGTTGGAGTCGGCGGTGCAAATGGATTTTCGAAAGGATTAGCCCCTATCGATATCTTCTTCGAAGGTGCATCTGAGACCTGAAATAGTAATGGTAGCTTTAGAAAAGATCAGAGTCTGCAGTTACAAAGGAAGAAAACTTGTCAGGCGTGAAGTGAGAAACGGATACATCCATCCTATTCGAGTTGCGTGACAGAAAACCTATCTTTCGCAATTTTTCAGTGAAAAATGTAACAATTCATTACTGCTATTACATTAAATCAAGTGCTTTCAAAATCAAGATCCTTTCGAATGAACAATCTTTGAGTTAAACTTTGAAAATAACTTGCCCTGCTTTCCCTCCTCATTCGTTGCTCCGATGCTTTCTTCAACAGTTTTTCTTTCACCACTCGTTTCGTAAGATATGTGTAGAGGTACGTTCCTCCCTAAATATAGCCTTCATTTGTTGTTATTAGTGTTGATTTCATTATTAGAAACTGAGAATTTACTGGCTAGAATGATTTGAAGCAGCCAGTAATCCAAGCGCTTGTGATGATTGGGTATGATTGTGGATTAACGTCCCTGTTTTTATGATTACTCTTCATTATATACTTACAAATTTATAAATGTACACCTACTCAATTTATAAATCCCTATATATCGGAAGTTTCGAATTGTTTTAAAGTGAAGAATATTTCAATCATAAGTGGTTCAACCCGTAGGCAAGACGAGGAAAGGAGAGTATGGCGCGGGGGTCATGTGTTGGTATGACGCTCTACGGCGCCTTACCCTTGCTTTACTCGAAATTTGGATTCAAAGAAAACCTTTAAAAGTGCTCACCTGAATTAAAGAGAGTATACTCAATCCAAGCCACATCCCAATAGAACCTCCAAGTGCGGCAATAAACGCAGTAATCGAGTATTTCCATTGTTGTTCCATGGTGAGGTACTCGAACGAACCCCAGTTTAAGTTGATCAGCGTCAAATCTGAGTTGTATTACTTGTTTTCACTTTATATCATTACAAATTTGTTTGTGTTATTTGAAGGATTTAAGTGGGGAAGTGAGTAAATGCCAATCCAAGGGCTTGTCTCTACATTATGGAACTTTGCTCCAGTGACTGAACTATGTTTTCGAGGAATTTACAGCTGTTGTTGAGATTAGTGCGTATGAAAATGGAGATGAAATTGGAGCCTACCAGGCCTGACCATTCTCCCTTGCACTTCATGATCGATTTCGTATCGAATTTGTCGACAATCGCGAAAACAGCTCTTGGAACATTCCGAATCAGAGTAATTACCCTGTTGTACGCTGAAAGTTATTTTTGACATTTTTGTTTATCAGGTTTGCGGTTTTCAAATGTCTCACTGTCATAAAACAAGGACATTTAAGAAGAGTTCAAATCACTTACTCAACTTCACACTTCGTGTAGTCACACAGTGGGAACTTGTCCAGATCATCGACAAGGTAGCTAAGGGAGAGTGGCGTGCACTGGCACATGTCCTGGAAATGGTTGAATTATAATTGCGGTTAGGATCGTTTTCATCTGCAGTACAAACACTCAGATTACGCGTTCAGATTACAGGGTTCACTTAAATCAGAAGCTAGTACGATGTATTAGAGTTTGTCAAGTGTTAGAGTTGATCAAGGTGTGCGCAGGTCATCATAGTGATGCTCTAGAAAGTGTCTTCCCGTCGGACCTATTGGCTTAGAGGTAGTTCAAAGAGCGGGTACTGGCTGTGAAACTCACCCGAATCATCTGCATGCGACACCGAGATCGGCAGTCAAATTCACTGTCTTCGCCGTCCTCAACATCGCGGCAGGCCGTTCCAGGCTCGTCGTTCTCGAGCATCTGATACAGTGCCCGAACTTCGACAGTGACCTCATGACGTTGACCAGCACATAGCTGAAATTCGAGGTATCTGAGGTCCTAGCTGTGTTCTGAAGGCAACAAATACGTTCATTGTACTAATAAAAGTTGATGCCGAAGTCTAGATTGGTGGTCAACTGAGCTACGCATGTGTCCAACCAATAGAGACTCCTCATCTTCCCTATAGTGCAGCTTACCAAACGTATCTGGCAGGCGTTGGAGAACGTACCTCAAAAGTGAAACCGTCTCTGGCTCGCCCTTTACCCTCCATGAATCGGTTAAGTGATGAAGGGCGTCCGTGGAAATCAACACTCATGCACTCCAGATGTTCTCCATCGAGGTTTTCAGCGTTATGAGATAAAAGCATTGTGAAGAAATTTCCCTGGAAGGGTTTCATTGGAACAGTTATTGGAATGAAACTAATGAACTCACTTGATCTTCTATGGCATAGAAGTTGTCCTCGTCGAACAACGGTTGAAAGCATATCTGCATTTGAGAGATCCACGAAGTTCTCAGTTTGGTTTTGATGACCAAATCTTCATTGAAAGTGGTACGTTGGAAACGCTGCATCGAACGTCGGAGGACTTCTGTGCCGGTCTTCTGAGTGAACTCCTCGAAGGTAATATTCCGTGACTGCAGCACTTCAATCCATTTCTGGAAAAAGCTTTTTTCTCCAGCCGTTTCTAATTTTCAATTGATCGAAACTTGGCACAAGTTCATCTCGGTATTTAGAAGTGGTAAACCTTAGCGGCATCGCTGGGGTAGAGCCCGCTAGGTGTTGGAAATGAAGCTCATCTCAGGGATCCCGCTTCCGGCACGTCTTTAGGGGATCCTTGCTCTGTAGGGATTTGCGTCGTTCCTGGGAGGAGGGAGTTGCCACCATGCTGTTTTCATGCTGGCGTGATGGGATGTGGTATCGGTACTTGTGTACCAAAGTAAGTGTCTCAAACTGTTCCACTTCTAGATGTGGTAGAACTTTTTTCTTTGAAGGTAGGAGCATTTCGGGCTTCTACCCTCAAGAAATCTGTTGTCGTGGGACCCCGTAATTCCTCCGGAATTCCTCCCCCTTCTCTTTCTCTTGTTCCGTCCTGCCGTAAGACTATACTCAGTGTTTTGAGTGTCTCTGAATGGGGATAGAAGAGGAACCAGTTTTTTGTTGTCATGAAGAGCTTGGGTAATGATTTAATTTGGTTTTATTGCGTTGAGTTACGATTTGTAAAGTGAGATTCCATTGTTTACTTTTTCTTAAGAGACATAGGAACGGAAGGCTAGATAAATTTCTCAATTGCCTGTAGATGGCAAGAGACCTGACATTAATTTCACTTACTTTAAAGGTTTTTCGTTTCCCAGCCAGTCGAGGTGATACTCGATAGATATTAATGGACCTTGCTGAACCATGAGCCGTTGTTTCACGTTCGAGACTGTTGTAGGTGGCAATCATATCATAAGCTTCCATAACAAGACGATAATCCCACAATGTTGCCATGAAACTGTCATGATCTGTCATATTTGCCAAAGCTTCCTGAAATTTGAAGTTCGTGAGGGTTCCTGAGGTCAAAATACGGTAGTACTCTGCGAAGGGACTACTGTAGCTATAAAGTCGGCACTGTACTTTCATGTTCCTGTTCAAGTCATTGGCTGAAACCGGCCAGACTTTCTCGTGCTTGTAGATATGAAGTACATTGGTAACTAAGAAAGCAATGAATTCTGAACGGGATCGAGTACAGGGCGAAATTCAAGTAAATGAGGAGATTTTTGAAAAATTTTGTCAAATACATTTACTTACGTCGACTATCATGTCCCATTCATCAACCGAAGCACTTTCATTCAGTTTAAAATGACTCCATGCTTGTTTTTTTGACATACAGAATGTGACATTAGGCATAGTCATCGAATCGTTAAATACGATATTCATATCGGATTCCTTCGGCTCATCCATATACTCAAGTACCTGAAATAGGTAACTATCCATTGGTATAATATTGTCGAAGGCTGCTTTCAGAGTTCAACGACGTGCATTGTATCAATCGTAGAGCGACCGGGTGACCCGTTTTGCCTAACACGCGTTGACGACGCTGGACAGCGATCGATACCGCTCACGCGGCTCTGAACGCAATCTGTCTAACGTTGTTAACACGTGGCTAACAACACGGTCGGTAAGTCGGTCGTCGGTTGAAACAGCGTACGTCGTTGGACTCTGATACCCAACCACGAGCGCCTTCTTATAAAAGGTTCTTTTTTTTCTAAAATAAATCTCTTCAGTTGTTTTTTTTTTCGAAGGCATCTAATCCCTTGTTGGTGGCTCTTTTTTCAGTCAGACAGGCGACTGTACAAATACATTGAATATGAGGTAGGAATTTTCAGAATTCAGAATCAATTAGATTCTAGTACATCAAGACACCTTCGAGCTGGTTCGGTAACTAAAGAGGGGCCCTTTGAAAGCTCAGATGGGGGCCTGATTCAGTCAAGACACTACCCTTCTTTGCTTTTTGTTCTCATCCATCTCCGCCTTGCATCCGAGAGAAAATCATGGCACTGCAGTCGCCATTGTGTTTTGAAGAAAGAGAGGCAGAGAGAGAGAAAGAGAAGGAGAGAGAATGAGTGGGAGAAGACTAATTTCGTACTAGTATTTGTTAGCCGTGTTATAGGAGGGACCTGTTGGTCATTGCGATTTCTGTAATCCATCTTCTTGATACGTGGTGATGTTTTGAGCATGGCAGGCCTTTCTCTTTTGCTAATGTGAATGAACGAGACAGCGCTGGCCATGCTACGTCCGTTGTAATACGTCCTATCTTCTTGATAATGCAGTGTTACTATTGATAAAAAGTCTTGAGTTGATATTTGAGCCTTCAGTGGTCTATTCGACTCAAAAACGAAACTAATTGTAAGTGAAAACTGGTTCTAAGAAATTGAAAAGTCTTTGTTACTGAGTTTCTATCTACTTTTTTTGTAGTGAACAATCTACTCGGATGGAGTTTGATTTCTTTTCTAATATTACATATTGAAAAGTTCACGGAGAGATCGAATAAAGTTTCTGATGAATAATCTGGAATTTCCCGAAATGATAAGGTAGCCCAGCCGCGTAGTGCGCCACGGTTTTATTCCATGGGCCGAAGATCATTCNGTAGTGAACAATCTACTCGGATGGAGTTTGATTTCTTTTCTAATATTACATATTGAAAAGTTCACGGAGAGATCGAATAAAGTTTCTGTTGAATAATCTGGAATTTCTCGAAATGATAGGGTAACCCAGCCGTGTAGTGCGCCACTTTTATTCCATAGACCGAAGATCATTCATCTGTGAAGTCCCCCATTTTTGCATAGTAGGGTTTTTCCGATTCGTCCTTGAGGGTTGAACCAGGGCTCAAGTATTTTTTGCATGAGGATGGAGTCTGAATGCAAGGATATCTTTCGGTAGTGCTACTCAACCTCGGTCGTTTATTCCTCTCTTAACTTCTTCACAGCACTTCTTACCTTTTTAACTACAGCGTTCCGCTTGCTACAAATAATTTGTTTCTAGCATAATTAATACTAAGCTGTTCCTAATCTTCGCATGGGGTTCTATATAAGAGTGACTATGAGGGATTCAAATCAAAAATTGGGAGATTTCACTTCTTCACTGATTTTCACCGACTCGAAGCCCAACATTGGTAAGGATATAGGGAAATTTACATTAATATAACTAGGAATCTCAAGTTTTGGAAGTCCCTAGTCATGTTGCTGGACATAGTAGAAGAGGGTGGAACTCTCGTACTTCTACAGAAATTCCAACTCGCGGCTTCTACTTGGCGTTCAGTTTCAGAAACGGCAACTGTTGCGTACTGACACCGAAACATAGTATCTATTGATACCCAAAACAAATAGTTTACTAACATGAAATCAAAACTGCATATCAACATGAAACCAGGTTTGATGTCAGTAAACAGTCTTCGTAAACTTAACCTTTTTTTCAGCAGAAATAACTATTCGGAGCTAACATTACTTGTTCAGTGTGTGGGTTTAGACTTTTTGAAGTCTATATTCGGAAAAAAATAGATGAGCAAAAATTAGTAGGTTTAGGTGGAGTTTAATCAGTTACCCTTCTGCTGCTGGGTCTCGCTTCACTCTTGAAATAGTCCCTTACAGGAATCTCAAAGAAAGCCAGAAAAAAAGGTTTAATAAAAAATATCGTGAGATATTAAGACATAAATTGCTACCGGAAGACAATTTTTTTGGGAGGTTTGAGATAGTTTTTGAAGTGATAGTGAAGTGGCCCAAAGGACAGCCAATAGGATGAAGATGTTCTTGACATCAAAAGAACAAAAGAACTAAAGGTAGCTCACCAAATCGACGACGTCCTTGATGGTCAAGCAGGCGAGAAATGCAACAATAAAGAAAAATGCCCATTTTCGTGCTCTTTCACCGAACATAGCCTCTCGGCATGAGTTGATTTTGGTTTTTTTCTCCGGCGGAGGACTGCCATAGTCGAATACCCGACTCATCCTGAAATTTATAAATGAGTCGATGAAATGATCGATTTTTCAATGGAATGAGTAGGAAATGTATGCAGGTGAAATGTGGACAAGAAGTACTGTAGCTGATGAAGAACAGGTCATTCTGTGGGTATCCGTCATTAGTTCGACTGTAGGCGGTGAAGCCAGAGTGGAATGATTGGCAAATACCCACACAATGACCCGAACACCTTTAGGAGAGGAACCTGGGAGAACTAGAAGAAGGACTTTTTTACTATACGGAGTTTTCCGTCATTGACAGTTCAGTTAGGGCAGTGATCACGTCGTTACGAGTGGGATGGGCCTGCTCCCTATAAGGCAATCTACGCTGAACGTTTTTGTTCTCGAGTGGTCTGAGGGTGGTGGCGACGAAGTGCCGCGCAGTATGTGGCGGTTTTCTACGGTATTGAATCAGTAATCAGCACGCTGTACAATGCGCACGACGGGCAACGAAAGACCAGTCGAATCGGTGGCGGACGACACTTTACTATGTGACTGTTTTCAACAATGGACTAATTCGGTTACCCGGAGGAATACCTTTGAAAACAGGGCCCACCTAAGCCTACTATTGACAGAGGCGGTACCAAATGTAGGAACTCCCTTTTTTCATGTGATGCTATGAGATTAGATGATAAATTACCAGTCAGAGAGACGTCAAAACTTACCTTATCTGACGCGCCGCCATATTCAGTGGGTACTTTGAAGGGCAGCAGACGTTTAATACGAGAATAAGAGTGCATACAGTTCTCAGGCGTGACTGTCTGTGTGTGATGACCCTCCCTTCCCGTTTGAACTTTGTTTTCGTAACTGCCAAAGCAGCGACGAAGGGCATTCGGAACGCTGCGCGTTTCTGTGATTTACCGTTCTGCGCCATTTATTTTGACAATTCTTAGAAAAACTTGTAAACAGTTTCATTTTCTGTTCCCAATGCTTTTTTTCGATTTTCTCAAGCAAATACTCCCCCACAGTATAGTCAGTGTCCGCTCAATCTCGCGAAATTCCTTGATAGCGATGGGCTGAGTGGCGGTAAAGTAACACAGTGGGCTAAAAGGGTTAGAGAATTGGGAAAAAGGGAGGAGGCCGTCTGTTTGGATTTTGTATTTTGAATGAGTACGAGAGAAATTAACAAAATAACAAGTTTTCTCAAGTTATAAATTAATTACCGGCATCAATTTTATGGTATTAACCTGAACGATTTCAATCAAAACCTTACCTCCCGATCACTGCGACAGGAGAGTGAAGTGTTCAGTGGCGCTACCACTTGCTCTTACCTAAGGATGAAGTAGTAGATTGGAATTCACCAAGGTCAACTAAATTCTTTCGATCGGTTAATTGGTCTCGATCGTTTTTCACCTCGAAAGATAGCAATTCTGACTTATAAATCGGCTGAGGTTGGCGCGAGTAGTTGCAAGCAAGCTATCCATAATATTCCGGGATCTTAATCAGAAGCCTAGTGCGTGGCGCACTTCGATTTATGTTTATCAGTGATTGATATCTCCTATCAGAGCCTCGTTCGCTGCAGCTGTTTCATTGACTGGGCGGAGTTAAGACAAAGGGGCGGTGCTTTGCTGGCTTTGGAAAGCTGTATCTTTCCTCAAGGCGCTTTCACTGCTTAAGAGACACAGTTAGATTTTCTCAAACTACATGCCCTTAATCATTTACCAGAAGAGGGGTTTGGGCCCTACTTCAGAATTTCATCCATTCAACTAAATTCGAACTATTTGCAGTCCCATTACTACCTTTATCATCAATCATCTCCCTTCCGATCCGACTTCTAATTTGTCACAAGATGTGTAATTTTTTCGTTTGCTGAACATGAATTCGGATTTGTTGACTCCGCAGTAATCAAGTTTTGTGAAGGGCCGGTTTCCGTCCTTAATTGGAGGGTTAAACATTTTTCAATTCTGATTGCAACTGCGGGTGCATTCTTTCATCGATAGATGAGTGGAATGGAAGGAAAGGACTGAAATGAGGGTCGATGGAGGGCCTGGAGAAGTCGGAAAAGTGAAATTTTGGATATCCGTGCCAAATATAGTGGATATCGCTTCTTACCAGTGCTGTACGGATGTTTTACTTTTTCAATTTTTTTAGGGCCAGAAGATTTAAATTGATATAATTCCTCATGGGTGGTCCTAATACTTCTCTTTTCAGCTTCACGCAGAATCTTTCTGCAGTGCTATCAGATCCAGGTCGATCACGATCTGAAGTGAACGCATTTTTCACTCGGCATTGGGGTGATTCATTTGTGCCTCCAACTACCATACCTCGATCGACCCTCATACCTCCGATTTCCGATCAGCAATTCATTGCGCATTCGAAAAACACGAGCAAAGTGAGCAGAAATTGAACTAATTACAATTCACAGTTCAGTAAAAGTAGTGCTACCCAGGTTAACCTCCTGGTTCCTTTTTCCAGATCTATAAACGGTATCATGGAACCAAGCGAGTACTTGCTTCACTTCAGCAACCGTCCACATGCAGTGGTGAAAGCGATGGGGACGATCTACCGTTGGTAAGTATAGAAGTACTTATACTATGTGCCATCTCCGCCTACGCATTGTTCTGACTGGTTCGGTAAAACTTGGACGGCATAGCGCCCAGTTCAATGAGGCGCATTGTGGCCTGCCTGGGCGTTTCTCGCCGTAAACGATTGCGGGAGCGATGCCTTTGTGAAATGTGGGGAACTCGTTTGGAAGACAGCTAGCCACCTGCCGAAAACTCTTACCCAACTGCATTTTCAGAATACTTCCGCAATTTTTTCCCTAGTTCGAGTCTGCTCTCCAGCAATCTCTCCATGAAGAACATGGATTGATCGAGGAAGTTGGTGTCGATAGCACCATTACTGGTCTTCTGGGTATTAAAAAGGGCATCCAGTCAGTATCAATTTGGGACACCGGCGTCGTAGAATGGAATTTGTGGAACGTCATCAAGTGTAGAATCTCGAAAATATCCATGTTTAATTTTTTTTACTCAACCAAGTGGTGAGGAGTGGTGATGTGATGAATAGGGAAGCTTGAGGCATTGGATTTTTTTTTCGAATCGCTACTTTTTTTGTGATTCTTGGGTTGCGCCCGAATCCAACTTCCAGTAGAATTGTCATGGCCTAATGAATGCGTATGTGGCGTATGCAATGATCGTGCTGGCCGTCTGATGTAAGGTCAGTACTTTTGTCCTCTTAGACAAATCTGGTACCCATCGGTAGACCCTTGAGGGAAAGGTTTGGTTGGCCGGGGCAGATACTATCCTCAATTTGACCCCGAGACCGTGCGTGTGTGATAGTACGGCTCAAGAATGTCGGCTGATTGGAACTCTTCTCGAATTCCCAGATAAATTTGACGGGAAAGGATGAAATAAGGGACTGCGGCCCGGTTATCGAAAATTATTCGAAAGTAAGTTGGACCCTTCAAAACATTGCTAGAGTGACCGGAGGCCTGTCATTTTCTCTGGGAGGCGCCTGCGGACTCAATAAATCGTTGTCGATCCACCACCTACTGGCATTCCAATCTTTTTCAATTCTCAGATTCCATTAGTCAGAGAATTTGCAAACCACGGGTCACATGCACTCTGCACTCTCTGTGAAAAGAACGCAGGTTGCACTTTTCATTTCGACCAGTATGTAAAGAAGGGTTAATCGAAAATCACTCCAAGGTGAAAATAGTTGTAGGAGCTTCCGAGCTAAAACTGGGCTCTCATTGTCTCTGCTTATTTGGTCCCTTCTAGAGGTTTATTTGGAGCAGAGGCAAGTAATTGAGTTCAAAAAAGCACAGCTATCCGACTTTTTCAGGTAAAGAGTTAGGTTGTCTGGAAGAGTTTGCTCTCAGTTATAGTCTTAGCATGCTATTGTCCAGGCCTGTCCAGGCCCATCGGATCTTTCTCGGGCTCGCTTAACTTGCATTCAAGCTGTTTATGAATTGGCTCGAACATCTTACCAGTAACCCTATGAACCCTATGAACTGGGTAACATCAATCTTTTCCCGAATAAAAGTCGTATATACGGCTCCTTCTTGAGCGCGTACTATTTTCCCTGCATTATGTACTCACCACCCTCTGTAAACTCATCTACTTCAAATTCTCAGGGTCGTTGAGGGTGTTAAGATATAAGTAAGTAGCTGATCAAATTCTCTGAGGAAAGAGGAAACAAATTCTAATTTTTCGAAA